TAACATATGGATAGTAAAATGGCATAGAAACATAAACATTCTAGTTTCTTAGTAATATCATTATGAATCCTTCGTTTGTTATTGTTTGTTTTATTTTTTTCTTCCATAAATATACAAATATTAATTCTATAGAATAAATGAGTTCAATGCATAGTTACTACATGATGAATATGGATCAATCGTTTATGGAATCTTGTTTTTGTTTTTTTTTAAATGAGTATTCGAGTCAATATTATAACATATTTTATCATATATATATATCACTATGTATATATATAGTTAGATATTTGATTTCATTAATAAGTAGACATCTGTTATAGAATTATGTAAAATGTTAGAAAAACTGAATTCTATAAGTATGTCGTATGTTTCAAATAATAATCAACATTCTTCAATGTGTAGGTTGAATGAAAAATGATTTCGTTTTTTTTTTTTGTTTTTTTTCTTCTTTTGTTTCTATGGAAGGAATATAGTATGTATAGTATGTAATTATTGTTGAAGATTATCATGATAGTATAAGAAACCTGTTTATTGTTTAAGATTTTCATCAATTTATTCTTTAAGAATGAAGATAGAGTTTTGGGAATAAATCAAAAACAATAATGAAATGTTTAAACAAAGATGAATAATGGTTAGTAATGGAAATTAGTTTGATTCATGTTTTATCCTATATGGGATAAGTCAGCTAGATGTACATGAATCCTAGAGTTGATGTTAATTGTTGGACTTGAATCCATTACTATTCACTTCAAATGTCATTATGTCATTCATTTAGCTATTAAGTCTTGAATTAAACATCAACTCTGAGATACAAATACATATAGCTGATGAGGACTAAATAGGACGAAACATGCGTCAAACTGAAATTCATTACTAGCCACTAACCATCTTTGCTTAAAATAAAGCTTGTGACTTAAGGTAATATCGAGACAATCGTATAGGATGCACATATGCCAACATGAGACTGATCGATCGTAGTTGTAAATAGTAATGGGAAGATAAAAGTAAAACAACATCAAGTGAATTTAAATGATGAAATTTATTATAGACAGAGGTTTATAATCATTGAAATTTGGTAACTGGTAAGTGGAATCAAACTGAAAGATAAATCAACACTGGATAAACTTGTATAGCATAGTCAAGTTGTTTTAATATATCAAATTGAAAGATAATAAGTTTGAATCTAAATTTGAAAACCGATATTTAAATCAAACCACTCCCAGCTAACTAGCACCAAACCGAATTAAACGAACATCCAAGATCTCACTGTTAGCAGTTGTTAAACTTTACTAAAATGCTCGTGAACATCAGATTGACCGAATAATATCATGTTATGTTCTAATGGCCTGTCAGTTATCATGTAATACAATCATGAATTAGAACGCTAACTTACTGACCAAGCCAATGCCATATAAGCCAGTATGAACAGTTCATAGTCAATCCTGAGTTCCTATTGGTCTATCGAGATAGTAGTTTATCGCCTAATTCTAAAATAAGTCAAAATATCAACCTTAAGATTATTGTGACTTTAAGCCCGGCTAACTATAACGTGATTTATTCTCTATTCGAAATACGACTTATTCAATCTTAGTACCGTGTCAAATCAATTACATATCAACCGGTGTAAACATTCATTTCCCTTCTAACCCTACCAGTTCAATCCAATACACTAATATCAACCTCTGATATATGATACATGTATTTAAGACATATGTAGCTAATACACAAGCAAATCAAGCCGCGTCATACCATAAAATGGAAAATACTAATTATACAAGATCATGCCAAAAGTGGCTGTCATTGTAAGAGACTGTTACTAATAAATTGGGAACATCTTAAGATTAGCAAACCGTATAATAATTCCAGAAGGGGTTTTGTGGATATCATAGTAATTTTTCATAAGTGAATTCATGAGTCAATTGAAACTAGACCACGTTGGAAATCCTGGAGTCCTATTATAGGACTCCTCAGAAGTGCGTATCCACGATCCAGCTTTGCAGGATTCGAACCAAGGACACACTGATCCGGCTAAGTGGCCTATGGGCTAAGCGTTCGCGCCCGAGACTGATAGGTCATGGGTTCGTATATTAATAACCTACAGATCAAATGGAGTTACTTACTTACTTACTTACGCCTGTTACTCCCAATGGAGCATAGGCCGCCGACCAGCATTCTCCAACCCACTCTGTCCTGGGCCTCCTTTTCTAATTCCATCCAATTCTTGTTCATCTTTTCCATGTCTATTTCCATTTCTCGGCGTAATGTATTCTTTGGTCTTCCTCTTTTGCTTTGGCCTTGAGGATTCCATGTGAGGGCTTTTCTTGTGACGCAGTTGGGTGCCTTCCTCAATGTGTGTCCTACCCACTTCCAGCGCTTCTTTCTGATTTCTTCCTTCGCTGGGATCTGGTTTGTTCTCTCCTACAGTACATTCTTGCTAATAGTGTCCGGCCAATGGATCTGAAGTATTTTGCGTAGACAACTGTTGATAAACACCTGTATCTTCTGGATGACGGCTTTTGTAGTTCTCCAGGTTTCTGCCCCATACAGTAGAACTGTCTTGACATTTGTATTGAAAATCCTGACCTTGGTGTTGGTTGATAGTTGCTTTGAGTTCCAGATGTTCCTCAGTTGTAAATATGCTGCTCTTGCTTTGCCGATCCGCGCCTTCACATCTGCATCAGATCCACCATGTTCATCAGATCATCAGATCAAATGGAAGGTTATAATAAAAGCAATATGGACATACATATAATATAGTTACTAAATAATCACACAATAAGTACATATAAAATAATAGTCCACTAATAGATCCTAGCTATTACCATTCATCTATTCTTCGTCCTGGTACAACACATCAATCAAGATGAATTGCGACCACCAGCTCAGTGGTCTAGTTATTAAGCGCTCGCGCGCGAGACTGATAGGACCTGGGTTCGAATCCCGTTAGGTGGGACCGCAGATGCGCACTGTTGAGAAGTCCCATACTAGGACGAAACGGCCGTCCTGTGCTTCCAGGTTTCCAACGGTGGTCTAACATCAATCGGTTCATGATCTCAATGGGGAAGAATTCTTAGCGTACGACTTGTACTGTTTACTACTCATAAATTGGTTTTACCTACATTTCAGAGTGAAAGTTCAATCCAGAATTCAAATTCAGTATTGTTTGTTTCAAAACTCATTGCATTATCTCATAGTCCTAGATCTCACTCCTAACAACATCCCATTTATTCAATATGAACTGGTGTTATTATTAACTATGTCGAAGTACATATGCCAACCACAACTGATCAAATCTCAGTCAATCATTCATTTTTTATATCATCAGTTATCATTGTCTTACTCTAATCCTTTTAATTTCTCCTATCTGAACAGTTTCAATGAGGAATGCCAAGAATAACTTTGTTAAATACTATGCAAATCATCTGTTTTACAAATATTTAAGTAAAAAGATGATTGAAATGTGTCTTTTGCCAGATTGATTCTACGGCGATACTATAAGAACCAATCAGATTTAGGCAACAGATCTTTGATTTTGGAGCGCATTATATAATCACTCATTTGGCTAAATACAGTTTCGGCATTTTAACTGATGTCAGTTCATGATGTAAACACTGAATCTAATTTCTAACCTTAACCATCAAATGCAAATCATAATCCTTACTCTTTACACTGCTTTATAACCTTCATTTCACCTTAGAATGTGGACTAACTTTCTCAAGGCTACTTCAGTGATGTTCAAAGATCATCCATCAAGTATAGCCTCACCAATTCTACGTGATTTAACAATGTTCTGTTAATTAATGAATATAAAGAAAACTTTATCAAACAATAGACTGTTTAAATTCACTTGTTATTCTTTTATTTGTATCTGTCCATCGTTGTTTACGACTGCAATTGATCAGTATCTTATTGACATATATGTATCCTACGCAGATTGCCTCGATATTGCCTTCAGTTACAAGCTTTATAAGCAAAGATCGATAGTGGTCAAAAGTGGAATCCATTTTGACTCATGTTTCGTCCTATTCAGGACTCGTCAACTAGATATACAGGCATGTCAGACTGGATGTTCACTCTATGACTCTAACCCAGTAACGCTTGCTTCAAACGTCATAGTGTCATTCATTTAGTTAATGAGTCCTGAAGTACACATCAACGCTGTTGATTAACTAAATAATTGACTAAATGTAAATATCTTTTTTTTCTTTCAGAGATATTTATTTCTTGACTCATAAATTGATTTTTACACAGTTTCCCGTATATTCCATATACAAACACATACACACCTCCACACACACAGAGAGAGAGAGAGAGGGAAACACTCATTGAGTAGTACCATCATTAAAACTACATTATCGATTCATAAAAGAAAATCTTTTTCTTTCTTTTTCTCTCTCTCTCCCTCGCACTATTGAATCACTGTGCCATATTTTTTATCCAATTATAATAAATGAAAATATCTCAATAATTCAATTGACCAATCATAATTCAAATCATCTGACCTTAATCATTCCATTAAGACTAATGTAATATGATGATGAAAATGCCAAAATCATAATAATAATTAACTGTTCCGATAATTGAATCCAACAACAATAATCATAACACATAGATGAGAATACACATGCACACTTTCATAAATACGTACGCACGTATACGTATACACATACGTACACGTGCACACATGTATTCATACACCTACGCATTTTTTTTTCTCTCAAAAATGCACTAATTATACTACTGAATTAGATGATTAATAAATGATAAAAAGAAAAAGTAAAAAAAAAGAGAAAAGAAAACGAAAACAAAATAAAAATGAATAAAATAGAAATTCTTTTACTGTAAATAAGAATAATAATACATTTATAATTGGATAAACTATTGATAATATTGAACTCAAAATTATATTTGACTTTAAAATTTGCATCTATCAAAGAAACGTGTAGCTTTATACATCTATATATATATATATAAAGAAAGGGATATACAGTTACCAATTTATAATACGTGAAAGTGATACAAATATCAAAATTATTTATATTTCATTATACATTTTGAAATAAATTATCATGTCTATTTCATATGTTGATGATATATCTGATGGTCAAGGAATATTTATCTTTGTTAAAATACTTAGAAGGTAAGATTATTTAAATGGTTAGATAATTTTATATTATGATTTCGTTGTTTGTTTTTTTGTTGTTGTTATTGTTGTTGTTGTTATGATTGAAAGTAAGATTCTGAGTTTGAGTTTTACAAGGCGATATGGTGGATGTGAACTATTGAGGAGTCTCATAATAGGACGAAACAACTATCCAAAGCTTCCAGGTTTTTCATGTTGATCTACCTTCAATTGACTTATAAATTCAACTTTAGAATTACTTAAATCTCCATAAAACCCCTTCTGATAATAATCATCGTATACCCACTACAGACTGGTTTCAAGAGGTACTTTCTGCAGTTCTAGTGAGAAACAGTGATCAGTGGAGTTCAGCCGGGTCTGTTGTGAGATAATAACTCACTGATGACAATGGTGGATGTGTTTCTCAACTTCGTAGATTAGTTGAAGTTAGACATTAACACATTTGGCTGCCGGCTCAGTGGTGTACAGGATGAGCGTTCACACGGGAGATTGATAGTTCCTGGGTTCTAATCTCTCAAGGTGAGATCGTGGATGCGCACTGTTGAGGAGTTCCAAAATAGGACGAAACAGTCGTTCAGTCCTTCCAGGTTTTCCACGGTGATCTAACTTCAATTTACTCATGAATCCAATTGTTAAATGTATTTGAGTAGAAAAGTATAGAATCACTGAGTAAAATATAAGAACTATACATTGAATAGTTCGTTTAGAAATTTCCATCATTTGTTCATCACATTCTGTATGATTCTTTCAAGTTATCATTCTTATCTATTTTCATTTCTGTTTTATTTTTCAATTTGATCTTCTTAACCTTTTACTGTTAAGATTTCCATTTTCGATTAGTGTTACATACTACTTATATTCGTGGACATATATAACATACACTAAACTGTGATAATGGTCTCAACAGTTATATTTACTTTAGATTAATTCTAATAATCCAAGCTCTTTTAATGATTCCAGTTTTAGTTTATTTTATCAATTTCTAGTTAGTTAAGTATTTACAAAGTTACCTAGAAACAACATTCGTTATCAAAGCACCTTCTTTAATGGAATGATCAGATCTTATACTTCATTTGAGATCATCTCTAGTTACTTAACTTGATCAATTCATAGACAAATAATAATGTTGTATAGATTTCTAGATAACTCATAAGACTTACATAGTGATGTAAATAGTTCTAATCAATAAGAAGTAATTAAATCCAGTAATTAAATGAATCATTACTTTATTACTGAATACCTTATTACTATATTGAAACTAAAATCAATAATTGATAGTGATTTATATGAATGCAATGCTAATCATATGATTATCAGTAACAATCCATCATTTGTTTTCATCCATATTGATTAAATATTTTACTTATATTGATTAATTTGGATTTCTGTATTAAGTATCAAGTAACAATCAGTGTGTGTGTGTGTGTGAGTGAGTGAGAGATAGAGATTTGTAGAAGATACCATATAATCAATACTATTGAGTATCATACTGAGTGAATAATGTCAAGATTTCTAGATCATCATTAATTTAATTAACTGATGACCTATTGATATTGTGTTAGTTATATCTATCTTGATAGTGATTTTAATAGTTGAATTTATGAATTGACCATCATTGAAAATCTGGGAGCACTGAACGGCTGTTTTGTTTTACTATGGAACTCTTTAGTAGTGAGCATCCACGATCTCTCATTAAATTAAATTAAACACATGCTTAACATCTAGACCATTGAGCTGACTGGTATCCAACAGTTTAAATATTTAACTATAATCTAATTATAAACTCCCTTTCTAATAATTATGATCATGTAGTTACTAGTGGCTGGCTTCCTGCAGTTCTAGCGAGAAGCTCTGATTAGTGGAATCCAACCCGTGTTGTGTAGAGGTACTTATCTACCTTAGAAAATGGTGAATGGTTGAACAAGTTTATGAATTGATTGATATCAGATATTGACAATATTGAATGCTAACTCATTGATCTATAGCTTAATCGTTTATACGCGTTCACACGAAGGTCCTAGGTTCGAGTCGCTTTAGTATGGAATCATGGATATGAGCTACTGAGGAATCCCATACTAAGACGAAACGACCATCCAGTACTTTCAGCTTTTGAATCGTAGTTTAACTTAAATTGACTCATGAAATTCAACTATTTAAATTATACGATCTCCACAAACCCCTATTATAATATATTGATAGTATCTTGAAATCTAATTTGTTTTACTTATTATTATTGAATTATTTGGGTCTTAGTTGTTGGATTCAAATGGTTTCATTAGATTATCTTAACAGATACCATACTATTTTATTTCTTTAAAAAGACCAAAAAGAGAAGATATTTCTTATGAGTTAACAGAATTCATTCATTATCCTAGTTACACTAGATTAAATAACAATGTGACGAAGGATCATTATGATTTATTTGTATTCATTAAGAAAAAATGAGACTTACTTTTGTCAGAAGGGGTTTTGTGGAGATCTTTGAAATTTCACTGGTTGAAATCATGAGTCAATTGGCGCAACTTCGTGGATTGGTTGAAGTTAGATATTAACACCATTGGATGCCGGCCAACTCAGCGATCGACAGGTTAAGTACTCGCGCGCGAAACCAATAGGTCCTGGGTTCGAATCTCGCAGAGGGGGCGAGGTCGTGGATCCACACTGCTGAGGAGTCCCAGTGCTTCCAGGTTTTCCATGGTGATTTAGCTTCGGTTGACTCATGATTTCAACTTATTTTTGTATTTTCAAAGTAATTAGTTCCTTTGATAAATTTCGATAATGTAATAAGAAGATGAATATGATCAGAACTATGTGATGATATATATTGGCGCAATGCATTTCGAACAATCTGATCATATAAATGCTATAAAAATGATCCAATAAGAAAATCCATGGTATAGTGAAACCTATTGTGGTCTTGGTAGAAAAAAACCCTGTCTACATCAATTTACCATTCAGTGGTGGTTCAAATTGCCTTTTATTGAAAAAAGGCTTAAATCAGAGCTGAGGATAAACATCCATCATCCTCTATTGCTAAACATATAATTGAAACAGGTCACAAGATTGATCTAAATTCAGCTTTTGTAGTGCTGTATAAGAGTGTTAAAGGGCGTATATTAAGGTTTATTGAAACCTTAGCCATACAAAAATTCAGACCCCCTTTGTGTGCTCAAAAACAGTTTGTTCTTACCTTAAACCTACCCTGGTAATATTGACTTATTATCCAGAGTGATTAGGTTTCAAATTGTGTTCACATTATGATTACTACTCTTATCATTATCCTTATCTCCTCTTACCCCGTTTCCTGTCTAGTTGACCTTTTATTTTTTATATATAAATGTTCTAAACAAGTATATGTGTGACCAGATTGTTCGAAATGTATTGCGCTAATCTATCACATAGTTCTGATAATCTTCGTCTTCTAATATCATTATCAAAATTAAATCAGTCAGTCATCAATAAAACGTATTGCACAGCAAAGTTCATTATCAAAGAAAGAACAAGGTGCATGCTTCATTCAAAACATAAAAGATATGAAAACGATTATGTCACATCCCACTGTGTTTATTAATTTTAATGTGTGTGGTGACATATATATAGGAAGGAGCAATCGTGATCTCAAAATTAGAATGTGTGAACATGTACCTAAATGGTTGCAGAAACAGATACAATCAAGTAACCCAATAAGATTCGAGGATAAACATCCATCATCCTCTGTTGCTAAACATATAATTGAAATAGGCCATAAGATTGATCTTCACTCGGTTTTTGTGATGTATAAAAGTTTAAAACGGCGTATACTTAGGTTTATTGAAGCCTTAGCCATAAGAAAATTCAAACCCTTTTTTGTATTTATATTTACTCTATTAGTGTATGTGTGTGTATTCAATCGATTGTTTATGAATACTCTTATTTATTAAAACACATAAATCTTGGTACAAGGAGACACCAAATAGATATACGTCATATAAATCGTTCGATTTGTGTGAGAGATGAGATACTGTCCGAGTGCTCAAATCGAAGCAGGTGGTTTTCTTAGAGGGCCACACCCGGAGCTTTTGACCTGAAGGTCTGATCTATAAGGCAATGGAGCGACGTAAAGAGATGCAGTTACATGATAGGCGATGACAATTAATTAGTTCATACGTCATTTGTTCCCTCAGGATCCTGGAGCCCATATACATAATTGAGTTGGAATGAGGGTCTTCCGACTCCCCTAGGTAGAACTTCCGTGTCCACCAACCCGGTTGAAGCACTGAACATTTACTTCTCATCCTTTCGATTTCGTAACCCCCCTCCGTTGCGAGAAGGCAATAAGTAGGACACCCCTGGCAATGGTTGTATACACGTAGCAATGTGAGACCATTTCAAGAGGGAGAAGTGACTCTCCCTACTCTCGGATATACCAGGACATTTAGGGGTTATAGCCCAGTTGGTAAAGTGGAGGACTGTAGATTGGTACAGTTTATGAATACAATAAAAATCTTATGATTATATATCTCTCTTCTCTAGGTATCTAATATTAATTGTTACATAATAGTCAATTATTCAATGTGAAATGATTTGGATTATACCATTGTTGATATTTTTAGCTGAAATTAGACTGATTCAAGTTGGTATATGTGTATTCTATACGAATTGCCTTGATTTTGTCACTATGATACATTGTTATTATTGGATTAAATGGAATGTAACTAACAGTGAAAACAAAAATGCGAGTTTTGTCTTATTTGTGATTTATCAACTACAGAATACAAATATGCTAATCAAGATTGTTTAAATTTCAGACAAATATATGAAAAATGGGTTATTCTAAGTCATTTCAAATTAAATAAAAACTCACTGATTTTCAATGGTGGTCTAGCTTCAACTGACTCATGATTTCAATCTGTGAACTTTCTAAAATCTCCACAAAATCCATTCTGATAATAATCAACTGCTCACTAATGACTGACTTCAGGAAAAACTCCTTGAGTTCTAGTGAGAATCCGTTACCA